CGCTTGGGAAGTTGTTGCACGAAACCTAACAGCATCAATCTCTATATTTCTTGCCTAAATATAACCCTTTACTGGAATATATACTCTGTTTTCCATGCAAATGTATCGTTGCGTCCCTCTCTACCAACATGGTGTCGCAAAACGGCAAGGGTATGTCGTAAATGCTCCGAAGTCGGAAGAACAAGCAAAAAGCAAAAATTTATGAAAAACATGCAATATATTAATTTAATTTGACTTTATTTCACAAGGAATTCGGTGTTTACGATCCTTTAGAATAGTTTAATAGCAAAACCAAACGCTCCACGTATGATCACGACATTGACCTGATCTTCAGCAGTTCGAGTTGCGCGGTAGGTTCAATATCGTCAGGTTCACATATCCTTAATGATAATGATTTATCACACTGACAGATACATACTGAAATGTAATGGTATATTTATAACCTTACAACAATACCAATGATCCCATATCAAAAAATAATACATAAAAGTATATTTTTAATATATTATTAATACAATCATTGTCGTATTGTTTAAAATTAATACAGAAAAAATATATTATTTTTGTATCACCAAAAAATAGGTAGCTTATTTTTGTATTAAAATCTGACTTTGATTTTTTACAGGGTATTATTTTTGTATTTTTTGGGACTTAGATTATTTTCAGTATATCATTTTTTACTTTTGTGGACTTAGTTTTTTTCAAGTGTATTTTTTCTGTATTAAAATTGAACTTAGTAATTTTACAGAAAATTACATACAGTTAATCTGTATTATTTTTGTATTAAAATTGAACTTAGTAATTTTACAGAAAATTACATACAGTTAGTCTCTATTATTTTTGTATTAAATTTGGACTTAATAATTTTTCAAAAAATACTATATAGTTAGTATGTATTTTTTTGTATTCAATTTGGACTTAGTATTTTCTTTTACTGAAATTTGTATTTCTTTGAACTTAGGAAAATTTACAGAATGTCCTTGCAATAAGTCTATTGGATTTAATATTTTTTCTCAGATTTTATTGATTAAGACCACTACTTGGCTATAAAAGGTTGCTTTTATACTATTTACATTTAATTGAACAGAAAACTTCAGTAGTTTAAATTTGTTACCTAAACAATTTCATATTTCTTCATTTTTTTTTTTAAAACATGTCTTTACTAGGTGTGAAATTGTCATTTGGAAAGGGATGGATATGTCTAAGGGGACACCTGTGCTGTACATGATAGTTGTAAACACGCTGTAAATTTTCTAGTGTTGAAAATTTTACAGCGTTTTTACAACCGAGTGTTTACAACTATCGCCAACAGCACAGGTGGCCACCTGTAGGCTAACAATAGATGAGTACATGTTATACTACTCAAAGAAATAACATGATTTACTCTTGTAAACACATCCCAACAACAACAACAAAAACATGGAGAGTTCCACTAATTAATTTACAGTACCTACGATGTTTTCTCGACTATACAACTCAATTAAGTATACATTATTTTTAATTCAGTACGTATTACAATTACATGGAATAGAACTATTTTATTATCCGCTTTAAAAAAAATTAAATAAGAAATTATTACTAAAGAATTTCATAAAATAATATAGAAAATGTTGTGAAATTAGTGTAAGGGATAAATGGTAAACATTATTTCAATCTCTGGTACCGTGCGTATGAGTTAAATTGTCTGTCAAAAAGGCTATATCTTATGTATCTCCCGCTCGTTTTGATCATTATATTTGAACTTTATGGTCTACTTCACAGGTCAACTTGAATATAAAAATGGCTGCTCTCAGCAGAAATGATGACCGGAAATAACGATGTTTTGTAATCGGTAAATTCCATAAGGAATAAAAGAATGATTCTGATGATTAAATTGAACATCGTTTTTTTCTAAAATAATTTTAGGTTTGTTCACTTGATTCAAGATATTTAAAACTGTGTAAATATGTTTTCTCTAACTGTTCCGATCTCAACATCGGTAATTTTCGTATATATGACACAATATGATTGGTCAGATTTTAAAACTCTTCCGTATTGTTCTCTGATTCACTGTGGGACGTGAAGACCGGTCCTTTGGATGAGACCGTATAAACCGAGGCCCCGTGTCGCAGTAGGTGCTGGCATGAAAAAGACCCCTCACTGCTCAATGGCCGTAAGTGCCGAGTATAGGACAAAATTTGCAGCTCTCCACCGGCAAGTGGTGGCGTCTCCATATGAGTGAAAAATTCTCGAGAGGGACGTTAAACAACATACAATCAATCAATTGTTCTCTGATTGGTCAACAATATTTCACCCACGCCATTTTGAAAATTCTTCCCGGGACGTGTTAAGAAAGCTGGAGGTGATTTTGAATAAACTAGCATTTGCTCGCGAGTAAAATGGATCGAAAAACAGAAGTTCAGCATAATCATGATACACAGGATCATATTTATGAACCAAGAAAACCGAATACATAAGGAGACTGACGTTTTTTAAGGATCAAGTCCGGGCTTTTCTGGTGTAAACAACGCCAGTTGCGGTATGATTATGTATATTTTAGCACATTAAAGTTTCAGGTTTTTTTTTAATAATAACTTAGTACACAGATAGAGGAACAAAGAATGCCTTTTTTACCCATTTTGTAGTATTGTAGAAAGATAAAATAGTACGGTTATTGGCCATACGGGGAACAAGGGTTTTTGTGATTAATTCTGATTGGGGGAGGGAGGGGTGGAAGATGGGGGGAATTTTCAAGCCTTCAGCTTCATAGTTCTAATTTATTCCTTTTCAAGTTAACCAGAGACGAATTATTTATTTTCCCTTAAAAACAATTCTGAAATTGTTCATTATTAGTAACTGCAGTTCGCGTACAGTTTAAACAGAGAAGTTTTTAATACTTAAATTTCTGATATTTTATTTTTGTTTCATGTTAAACACACATATGACACAGCTTAAAAATATATAGTTTCTTTATACAGTTTCTAAGAATTAAAGATGTCACCATATAAGTATTGAAACATTTATTATCTTCTGCTTTAAATTACAAATTCCTTTTCAGAGTATGTTTATAATTGTCTATTTATTATTGCAAAATAAAGGAAAATACTTTCTTAACTATATATACACTGTGGATCTTTAATTTTTTTTTAATACAAGGAATTTCGCAAACTTCTGTTCAGGGAGATAACTCCCGTTTGTTTACGATACTAGATGATCGACCATTTAACCGCGGCATGGATAGGTAGGTGATGACAGGTTTACCTGTCTCACCTGGCAAAATCCCACGTTTATACTGTGACGGGGCACGGGAAATACAGGATCTGCATTGCCTGTATTATAATTGAATTATTGGAAATGATTGTTCCAAAGACTTTCTGATAATTACTTGCTAACTGCAATAACAGCGAGGTGTGAAACCTGACCTATTCTTGGCTAAGTAGCCATACACTTGCATAAGTCTCAAAATCATTGGTGCATATATCTTAGCATGTGGATATGATTTAATCAACAATTTAGTGAATTAGCATATATCAACAAATTATGAAAACAATACGAGGGGCATTTCAAAAGTTCTGGCAACTGGTATATAAAATCTTAACTACGTTACGGATTAAAATGACTCTGATACAACTGTAAAGCTTAGGCAAATATGCATTAGTAGTGATGTCATTTTACATTCAAAATGACGTATAGGACTGCTAAAATGACGTCATAATTAGGTATTCTCTGTATACTGGGCGTAAAAATGACTGATAAGGAGAACAATTTTTTTGTTGAGCAAAGAGCGTATTGCAAAATTCGCTCATTGCTTGGCTTTATGGCAACAGAAATAAAAGCCAATTTAGATGTAGCATATAAAGAGCATGCTCTTTCATATCGAGCAATAGCAAGATGGGTAGTTCAATTTAAAGAGGGTAGAAAATCAATTGAAGATGACCTCCGTTTGGGGCGTCCAGTTTGTGCATATGGCGAAAAAGAAATCGTCACTGTTCAAAATACGATAGCTGATGATGCTAGATATACAGTTGAGGAAATAGCAGACTTAACTAACATTAATTCGTCAGCAGTTTTTCGCATTTTAAAGGAAAACTTAAAGCTTAGGAAAGTCTGTGCTAGATGGGTGCCGCATCTTCTCTAGGAAGAGCAAAAGCGCATCCGGGTAGAATGGCTTCACAGTTACTAACAATTTATGAAGATTGTGACCAAAGGCGAATAAATGAGATTGTAACTGGTGATGAAACATGGATATATTTGTTTGAACCGGAAACTAAGCTCAATAATAAAGTTTGGATCGGTGAAAATGATACAAGGCCTCAAATTGCACGCAGAAACCGGTCTGTCCGGAGAGTAATGTACGCCTTATTTTTTGATTCTAAAGGCCCTGTTGCTCAAGTTCCGGTTCCAGAACACAGCAGTGTTACTGGTCAATTTTATGCAGAGAATGTCTTGTCTCAGGTTGTAGAGCACTATAAAACGACCCGACCAACAACCAGTACTAGAGGAATAAAGCTCCTCCATGACAACGCACCTGCCCATAGATCAGAGGTAGTAACCAAATATTTAAAGGAAAATGGTATTGCCGTTTTACCACATCCACCCTACAGTCCTGACTTAGCTCCATGCGATTTTTGGTTGAATGCCGTTATCAAAGAAGCCCTCCGAGGACGGCGATTTGAAAGTCGTCATGCAGTCGGAAGTGCCGTATTCCAGTGTATGAAGCGTATACCGAAAGAGGACTATAGGGCAGCATTTTCCACGTGGATTTCAAGACTGAAAAAGTGTGTCCAGGTCAACGGAGACTATTTTGAGGGATTGATATAATTTAATTTATGATAATGACGCTCATTAATTTACCGCACACCAGTTGCCAGAACTTTTGAAATGCCCTCGTACATATGTCTTTCTAATTTTATTGCATCCATTGGGATGCACGTTTATTGAAATCATGCATTCCGAGCAAAATTAATGCATATAATTTGTTCAGGATGCACACTAACATAAACACTGAGAACTCTTCTTACCTATCAAATTCAAAAGTTTCTCCTAATAATGGATTAAATGGTTTTCCTAAGCGTTCAAAGTTGGATGAAATAGCAGACACTGCAAATGCCGAGATAAACTGCAAAATAAACAAAAATCCCATAAGACTTGACAATCACCTGAGCATCATGAACTCAATGATCACCTGGGTTCCTCTTCGGACTATATAATTATCTGTATGTCCATACGTCGCCTTGTGTCCTATAAGTTCAAGAGTGAAGAAGTTAAATCACACTTCATAATATATATTCCAATATATATGACAAACTTTGCCCAACTCTGACTCCTGGACTCCAGGGTCATTAATTTTGAACTTTTTAGAGGGCTAGCCTGCTCATTATGTAACACAATGAGCATATAAAATATAATTTTAATTGATATATTCATTTGTACAGTGCATTTATTTATGTTTAAATATTGTGTTATGAATTATAATAGACACTATCAGTGTGTAAAATGACAGACAATATAAACTTCTAAATTATGAACTTGTTTACAAACTCTAAGAAATTGGATACAATAAGAAGAGCGACTTCATTTGACGGACAATTAGTTTTTACGATGTGTTGTTCTCTAACACTGACACTTCCAATCAGACTGTGCAAAGCTGCAACCATCTAATTAACTGAAGAATGTGCACGATACACAATGTTAATGTAAACAGTAGACATTGCTGTATCCTATAAGGAGATAAGAGACAGAGCTTCAGTGAGAGGTGGACTAAGCCCCACCCTCTAGGGCTGAACCATGGACCCCCGAATTTCATCTATGTAAAAAATTAAATATTTTTATCATAAAATAAAATCATGCAAACAGTTTGATCACTAAATGTCTAAAAAACGAAAAGTATTTTGAAATATGTACAGGGAAGTCTGCAGAGCTCCCACTGGAGCGAAAATATTTTTCGCCATTTTTCACGATGAAAAGAATTGCATTCTTACATCTCCTCATGACAAGTGTTTATAATGCTAAACACTCCACTAATAGCACTATTTCAATTTGTTTATATCACAGGCATTGTTTTAAAATGGTAAAATTTAAAGTTGTATCCACTTACAAAACTAATATAAGAATTATTTCTACATTTATACAATTAATTTGATATTGATATTAGCCAACTCTTGACAGAAGATGTCCTCTTGTTCATAACATTTTTTTTAGCCTGGGAAGGGGGGTTACAGACTTAGTAAAAATATAAAACATTTTTTTAAAAATGAAAAAATAATATAATATAATAAGTGAAAAATTTAATCATATCAACAATTTATCGTGAAAAGAAGTAATCAAAATCAGGTTTAAAATTTGGCTTAATTTAACAACTTGGACTGTTGGACACTGGATGTATGCATGTAAATTTATATAATTGAAAATAATTCAGAATAATTGTATTGTTTTGTTTCCAAGCCAGTATCTCTTTCACTCTTTGTCAGTTTATGGTATAAATGAACACACTATTTTGACTTTAATCAGGTAAAATTAGCAGCCATGCTCTGCAGTTTTCGTCATGTTTTCCTACTTTCGGTTTTAAAAAACGATCTATATAGATCCAGATTTTATTGATTAAAATCTTTCATTAACTAACTTCATCTTCCAAAAACACTTTGTCTTTCCTTGTTTAATCCATCTTATATTATTTCAAGTAATTTTGTATCCCCTTACTGCTCCAGGCTGAAGTTACCTAGTCAGCTGTGTGCGTTCAAGCGAGACGTGATTTCCTACATGTACATTGTTTTGTACGTTTCATGGAGTTTTCACACTCTGAATTCAAACGTCTGCTTGCATTAAATAAACAAAGGGGCTAATCTGTATACATTGAATAAACAAAGGAGATAGCCAGGAGTACACACACTTTTGTTTGGTATATCTAAAAAAAATTTCATTTTCGCCACTTTTGAATTTCTTTTCGCCACTTTTGGAAAAAATTCGCAATTGGCGCAAATGGCGAATCACAGCTCGAGCACTGGAAGTCTGATTATTATGATATATATATACCCCACCCTACCCCTGGGGGTCATCATTTGAACAAACTTGAATCACACTACCTGAGGATGCATCCATATCAATATGACTAATCATGGCTTTGTTGGTCATCAGAAGAAGATTTTTAGAGAATTTTCCTATATATTCCTATGTAAAACTTTGATCCCTCATTATGGCCCTACCCTACCCCTTGGGGTCATGATTTGAATAAACTTGAATCTACACTATGTATTAAAGGTTTCATATATGTTTCAACTTTTCTGGCCCAATCATTTTTGAGAAGATTTTTATGACACCAAATTTTCACAAATTCTTAATTATCTCTCCTTGAAAGAGGGTGTGGCCCTTCATTTGAATTAACTTGAACCCCCTTCACCCAAGGATGCTTTGTGGCAAGTTTGGTAGAAACTGACCCAGTGGTTCTTGAGAAGAAGTTGAAAATGTGAAAAGTTTACAGACAGACAAATGGACGGCCAAACGACAGAAACATTACTTCTGGTCTCTGACCAGTAAAGCTAACAAGAGGTCCAGGGGCCACATCCCTCACCTGAGCACTCTGGCTAGGAAAAAGTAGAAATCAGTTAAGTCTTGAAAAGATTTGATATAAAAGTGGTTCGGGGGGGGGGGGGGGGGGGGGGGGGGGTGTTGATTTGAACTAACTTGAATCTATACTTCATAGGGATGCTTTTGAATCAATATGACAAATAATAGCTTTTCTGTTCTTAAGAAGACAATTTTTATTGATATATCATTTGTATTCCTTTGTATAACTATGATCCCCTGTTATGGCCCCTCTATTCTCCTTGGGTGTCATGATTTGAACAAAATTTGAATCTGCATTACCCGAGGATGCTTCCATTTAAATATGACTAATTATGGTTTTGCTGTTCTCAGACCTGTTTACCCAAATCGTTGTCTCTCAGGATTTTTTATTAGATTTGTCAGTGAGATTTTGAATTTGTCCGTAAGATTTCACTTTTCATTGACTGTACATATATTACTAGAAAACAACTACATTTCTGATTACCAAAACATGGTTTAATAACAAAGCAAAACATCATACCCTGCTTTCTCTTTAGTGATTTCTGTCATTTTTTAAACCACCTCGTTTTGGCAACTTAAATGTTTGAAATTTTTCTCTTTTTTAGCGATTAAAAAGCGTCAAACTGAGACAGATAACGAAAACTAATTGCTAAAATCCATATGAAGGGATTTCTGTATTTTCGTTAAAGCAAAACGTGAGACGTATTTTGGACTGAAAATCCGTACAAAATACGGCGAAATCGTAAGAGTAAACAGGTCTGTGTTCTTGAGAAAAAGATTTTTAAAGATTTTTTCCCATGTATTCCTATGTAAAACTTTGATTGCCCATTGTGGCACCACCCTACCCCCGGGGTTCATAATTGGAACAAACTTGAACCTACACCACTTGAGGATGCTTCCATATAAATATGACCAATCATGGCTTTGTTGTTCTTGAGAAGATTTTTAAAGATTTTTCCTATGTATTCCTATGTAAAACTTTGATCGCCCATTGTGGCCCCAATCTACCCCCTGGGGTCATGATTTGAACAAACTTGAATCTTCACTACCTGAGGATGCTTCCACATAAAAATGACCAATCATGGCTTTGCTGTTACTGAGAAGAAGATTTGTCCTATGTATTCCTATGTAAAACTTTGAACGTCCATTGTGGCCTCACCCTACCCCCAAGGGTCATGATTGGAACAAGCTTGAACCTACACTACTTGAGGATGCTTCAATACAAACATGACCAATCAATTGGCTTTGTTGTTCTTGAGAAGAAGATTATTAAAGATATTTCATATATATTCCTATGTAAAACTCTGATTGCCCATTGTGGCCCCACCCAACCCCAGGGGTCATGATTTGAACAAACTTGAATCTACACTACCTGAGGATGCTTCCATATAAGTTTCATATTTTCAAGCACAGTGGTTCTTGAGAAGATTTTTAAATGATGCCATTAATTTTTCCACGAATTCATATTTATCTCCCCTTGGAAGAAGGTGTGGCCCTTCATTTGAATAAACTAGAATCCCCTTTATCCAAGGATACTTTGTAGCAAGTTTGGTTGAAATTGGCCCAGTTATTCTTGAGAAGAAGATGAAAATGTGAAAAGCTTACGACAACAATGATGACGACGACAACGACGACAGACAAATTTCGATCAGAAAAGCTCACTTGAGCCTTCGGCTCAGGTGAGCTAAAAATGACATGACTTCTTCATACAAAGATTTTGAATATGCAGAAATGAACGAATTTTGTTTGAAAACTACTCACTGTAGACCATCATGTGTCACCTGACCTGTTGCAGACAGGTAGACATACCCCTGAGGGTATAATTATCACATCTGGGCCTGTACAAAATATATATTTTAACTGCCTTTTCATCCCCTATTGTGGTCCCACCTTACCCCCAGGGGTCATGATTTGAATAATTTAGAAGACTTCTTCAGGAAGCTTTTTCTGGATTTTCTCCCCTTCAAAAAGGATGTGACCATTTATTTGAATGCCCTATACCCAAGGATGCTTTGTGCCAAGTTTGGTTAAAATTGGTCCAGTGGTTCTTAAGAAGATGAAAAAGTGAAAATTTTAAAATGACAACAACTTCAATGACAAGAGACAAATATTTATCAGAAATGCTCACTTCAGCCCTTGATAAGTTGAGCTAAAAACTGGTCAAAATTGGTTTAGCCATTCTACAGAAGAAGCTGATGTCCAAATGTTAATGGATGATGCATGCTCATTGACACTGGATGAAACAGACAGCAATAGGTCACTTAGTGACCCAGGTTACCCAACATTTGAGTAAACCTTTCTCACAGATGGCAAAGCATTTTATATATTAATTCTTGGAAAGTAAAAATACAGTTGAACTTCATTATCTTGAAAACTGATATACTGAATACTATTGATACAGTATGGGCAATGGGGGTTATGCATTTAACGTGCACCCTGACGGTGTGAATCTCATGGGGGTTAGTACAGGTGTCTCAGGTAAAAATGGCATGCCCCTGCTGTTCAGCCATCCAGGTTAATCCTCAATGCATTGGTGCACATTACGAACATAGGTTG